ATATGTATACCTTTGGTATCCCTCTGCCCTCCTGTTAAAGTATCGCATACCCGCACGCCATCTTGCTATATCATGACATGCAACGAATATACCCGAGTCAAACAACAATATATTGCCGCTGTACAGGCGATGATCACTATATCAAGTATCTTAGAGTATTCCTTCTTGGAAGCTGCAAATGGGCTACCCCTCCGAACTTGGGTATAGGGGCCAGCCGGTAGAAGCCTGCTACATGCACCTTATCGTCGTCTCTTCGTCCTTTCTCTATCCCTCCTAGAAGCTGCAGCAATGTAGTGTCGATATTGAGTCTCATACGTTGTCCTACGAATATGTAGTGCAATATGCGATATCGGATAGGACGTTCACTAGTATATGCGCTGAATAACGTAACGAGTGATTGATCGTATTTTCAGTTTCCACTTTTCCTATTCGTTGAAGATAATGCTGTTTGAAAAAAAAAAAAATAATAATAATAATAATAATAATTCCCGGGATGAGCTGAAGCCGATATCCCTTGCAAACAGTGCAAACATCAACTTCACCAAGCATGAGGAAATAATCAAAAATGATCTTTCAAAATGAGTTAAATGATAACTAAAAATTATTCAACCCAATACTAACCACCTTCTTATCTCATTGCGATAATCACCCTGTTGCTTCATATATAGCAGCCGATGATGCCTTCGAGACAATCTTGTGCTCAGTGCGCGGATATGCTGAGGCTCGCGTTCAAACCACAGGTAAGCAGTAAATTCTATTCCGTCAATCAATTGTAGCTTTCGGATCGACAGATTCCACCCAATTCATTTTACCTCAAAAACATCGTACTAAACACATTTACTTATAAATGTATACATATAGCCCCAAAGATATTGCGCTCCGAATTCTGCTTGTCCTGTTGGCCGTCGCGGAGCCGTCTCCTCCCGCCTTGCATCCACATCCGCATCCGCACCCGCCATGTCCATGTCCACATCCACACCTCCGCCCAAGAAGAGCAGTAATAGAAAATTACTGCGCGATTTAAAAAATGAGCCTGTTAACTCGCCATCTTCGCCAATATCTCATATAGCGAACTCACTCCAGTCGCGCGCCTCGCGCACGACAGAGACGTATACAGCCTTCGGAGCTACTAAGAAGATGTTCGAGGCTTGCCAGCTGCAGGCGGACTATAAGATTCCTCAAGCGTCGCAACCCCGTGGCGTAGTGCCCAAGACTGCCCATGGAGAGGACCTAGGCGTGGGTGAAGGGGCGTGGTATAAAGGTTTGTTAGATCCTTCAAACCACTACCTTCCCACTAAGATCCACCTCTTTCGAATATTTTGTGATTCGCACGGGAAGGAAGAAAAAAATTCTCTATCGATATACAAACCTTTCTCCAAACATAACGCAATTAAAAAGAAAAGAAAGAAACTTACCTCATAAACACCAGAACTCGGCCTCCTCCCAACCTTCTCCACCTGGTCCCAAATCACCTTCCTACACATGTACCTCTTAACCGTCCGCCTTCGCGCCCTCCCTTCCCCCGAGAGCTTCCGCACGTATTCCCAACACCTCCTCGACAACTTCTCGCACAACGCCGAACACCGCATGACCATCTACCACGGCATGACCATGCGCGGTATTCGCAACCGCTACCTCAAAGACTTGTTCATCCAATGGCGCGGCGTGCTCGCCGCATATGACCAAGGCCTAGTGTCCGGCGACGCAGTGCTTGGGGCGGCTGTGTGGAGGAACATTTGGAAGGCGTCGCATGTGGACCCGAATGCAGGCGGTGATGGGAATGTGCCGGAGGAAATGGATTGGCGGAAAGTGGCAGCTGTGGTTGGATACATGAGGAGGGTGCTGGTGGAGTTGAGTCGGGTGCCCCATGAGGGCTTGGTGGATTTGGTTGTTGGGAAGAAGGTTTTTGGGTTGACTCGGCAGGATTGGGGGTTGGTTGGGACTGTGAGTCGGGGGATGAATGAGCCGTTCAGTCAACCGGCGCCAGCAGAAAAAACGGAATCTTGAGGGTGTTGCTAGTTGTGGTGTGTAATGTGGTAAATCCTGCCACTTCGCATTAGTTTTCAATAGCTTGAGGCTGTTGACTACTGTAAATTTCAAGGTATATCATCTCTGCGTAATTCAAAGGACATGAGAATTCAAAGCTTCTTCCCGGAGTTGCTGTTGATAATTGGCTAGAAATCTAATGACCCATCTGTCAACGGAAGGGTAGACGGGTCGACAAGCTTGTAATATACGTATATAAACGAGCAGGCATAGAATATATGGTCAGGCGCACGAACTCAGAATAGACAACATTTGCGCACATAACATTTTCTATGATATATAATCATGTGTCGGCTCACGTCCGCATCCCGTCACATGGAGGCTTGCCAAAAGGGGCAGGTCTAACTCCCCTTGTTCCCAAACAGATCCTTCTGGACCAAGCCTCTACAAATAGGATGGTAGAAACTTTTGTTTTTTTCAAATACTTCGATAGCGATATTGCGATCAAGCTTATCCAGCGCACGGTATCTTATTTTTTGATGCCATGTTAGCCTCATATAGATACCTAACAAAGATAGAGGGATAGCAAAGGACAGTCACTTACAATGGACGAACATATTTCATTCGTCCAATGCTCGACAAGAATGCAGCGGTCGGCTCGATGACACTCTTATCACCAGCCTTCAAGCCGACTTGGAAGTACATGTTCAAAACCTCGGCATTCTCACTCTTCGCAAGACCATATTTATCGCCCATCAACTTCGATTGCTCCGCTGACAGGGGCTTCTCAAATACGAGCACCTGCTCTAGAAAAACTACCAGCTGGTTCGCGACTAAGCCGTTGACATCAACTGCGGACGGAGAAAATCCTGACTCGGAAGCCGTTCGCCATTTCTGCGCCAGAGCGTAAACGATGTCAACCAGTGAGGTGTCAAAGTCCGGTTTTGGTGGGAGTCCAGGGCTGTAGAACCATTTATCCCAATCGAAGGAGGTGAGTAAGGCATGGGCTTCAGAGTCGGATGAGAAAAAACTGAGGATGCTCGACTTGAATTCATACGAATCGAGAGACGCCTCTTTGTATTTCGTAAAGTACTTTTTGAAAAAGTGTCAATACGCCTGTAGCTTTGCTTAAATTTTAGTTCCAGGATGGCGGTTAGGGGGAAACATACGTGAGGGATAAATTTATCAAATTTGTCTTTGCCAATGAGGTTCTCGAGGTAGAATAGGAAATTGAACCCCTTTTCATAGGGGACGCTGGAGAAGGCATCGTCTGGGTCCTTTCCTTTGAGATCCACAACGAGCTTTGTGAACTCATGGTCTTTTCCGTAACGTTCGACAGACTCAGTTAGGGCTTTCCACCCGATTATGGCCGAAAAATGACGATACGGCTCGCCATGTCTATTAACACATCAGGAAAACATCAGGAAATGGGAAAGTAGAAGGTGGATTGGAATGGTGGCTCTTACACAGCTGCAAGGATCTGGCACCTGAATGTTAGCTTCTCCGAATAAAATAACTGTGAAGTTTAGGGATGCAATTTAGAATTACTCTTCTTTCCAGATAAGTTGTCCAGCCCTCATTAAGCCAGAAATGTTCCCAAGAAGCATTCGTAACGAGATTGCCGCTCCAGCTGTGAGCGAGCTCATGAGCAATAACGTCAACGTTTTGTCGGTCCTAACGAGAAAAGAGTGTCAATTGAAGCTAGGAAAACAAGGAAATAAGTCGCATATACTTTCGAGATTACACTAGGCGTAGCAAAGGTGAAAATCGGATTTTCCATTCCGCCGTAGGGGAAGCTTGGAGGCAGGATTAACACATTATACTCCCCCCAGATGTACGGGAAGATTATTTTCTATAAAAAACCTTTTGAGTCAGTTTCCCTTTGTGCCTCTCTTTCTTTCAGACAAAGCCTTCTGGAATTTTCATACATCAATTGCCTGCATAAACTTTTCCGTGTCTGCCTCAAGTTCCCATTTACACTCCTCAAGCTTGTCAGGACTTGCAGCGACCCTGCTCCGTGGGCCGATGGGTGCCTCTGCAATTTCCCTGTTTATATCAGTATTGGACACTGTTGTCCCACGGATTATTGCAATTCCGTAGTGAGAAAGAAGGGGGAATGGGTCACCATAATGGAACAATATCACGGTACTTACCCACTGGCCATCGCGAAAAGATACGTCGGAATCGGCACCTTCTGGTGGAATTTATAGACCTTATTTTTCGATTTCGACGAGGAGGATGATACATCATTCACTGGCACACCACTAGCAATGACAGGCAGAGGGGACGAGATGTTGAAATCAATAACGGCCTTGACATCAGGAGTATCCTGGCATGGGAATATAGATCTGGCATGAATCGCCTGACATTGGGTAACTAAGAGTGGCAAACGGGTAGATAGTCAGCGATTACAAATGATCTCTCCTTCATTTGAATATCCTATACTCGTGAGAATAGAAGATGCTTACACATATACGGGTGCTTTTGAGTCGACGTCTGGGCTGGCGTGAGCCACTGCAGGGCCGTGCATTTCTCGGTTGTCTCGACAGTAATATCAATATCAAGCGTTTTGCTCAAAGCTACACCTTCAGCCAAAGGTATTTTCAACGCACTGCCATACGGTTCCTGGCGGGGAAGCAGCTCGAACTTGCTTTGCTTGCCGTCAACCTTGACATCGTGAATATTCAGAAAGCTAGAGTCTAATATGACTTCGCGGGCCTCCAAATTTGTGAGTGATATCAATTTATGCATAACGTTTCCAGTGAGCTTCTGCTTCTCGAAGAGGATATCGAAGTTGACTGTCGTATGGGTGGTCCGAAAGGCATTGTAATTGGACAGGGTATTGGGGTCTCTTGGGGGATTGGTAGCTGCAGCCATACTGTATGCTCGACGGGCCAAAGTGATTTGAAAGGGGGATTGAGGACCAGACAGGAAATCAGGGACCTTTAGATGGGCCTTGAAAGGGCGAACAAAACGCAGTGGCTGCAGCAAAAAATGCATCGAGGGGCATTGGAAGGCTAGGCCTAGCCCGCTTAACCTACATCTGCTATTTTTGGTGCAACGCCGCATTACGGGATGTTTTCTGTCAGCAACTGCTTAGTCATGTATAGTAGTGAGTGTGCCCTAGCTGCCTATCACGGACTAGCGCACGCACATATATGCCTCCGCTGCCGACATGCTAATACAACCACTTAGACGTCCCACATGAGTGGGCATCAAATTCCTCCCAGCAGCTCTGATATTCTTGTGATACTCATAGGCAGGGAACGCGCCGCCTGGACTACCTATTCTCTCTCCGATGCTAGATTCTCATCTGGATGTTGACGTTGTTTCCGGATACTGCCCGAGTCAACGAACCATCCATCACCGACCAGCTCATTGTCCCCAGAGGTGCCCGTCGAAGTCACCAATCGCCCATACTATGCATTCGGGCGTATAGTTAAGTAGTAACCATGCCAAACGCGACTCACTACCATTAGTGAGTGCGCCACACTGTAAAGGAATTCACACCGTAACGGAATTGGTATCTTTTGTATGGATTCGTCATATAAACAGTACTTATAGAAAAACATGAATATCTTCAACATCATAATAGATATGAGTTCTATATTATAATAGAAGTATATATATCATATTTCAAGTATATTAAAATATTTTTTTCTAAATAAAAATATATCTGAAATGAAATTTGCTAAATTTATTCAAATTCATCATAGCAGATTTCAAATACAAGAGAATGAAAAAATTTTTATTAAAAAAAAAACTGTAATATATATAGAATATGATGTATATCTTTATATTATAGAAAAATCAACTTTTTCTGTGAAAAAAATACTGTAACATAACCTCATGTGATATCATGTGCATTTCATCAAATTCATGAATGAATTGAATGACTGGCTCTGCGGCCTGTACATGTAATAGGCGCAACGGAGATATCTATATTAGAAAACAGACACATGACGATAGAAAGGCATGGAATAATTGTAGTGTGGTGGCAACATTGTCTATATAATACTCACTGATATCTGTAGATCTTAGAAGATCAGTGATTAACTTTGAACAATAGAGATTGCTATATTCTTAATATCTTTTGTGTGTACTTCACACTACTCTTGTAATTACTCTTATAGCCTATCTCTTACAATTCTAATCACTCTAAACTTTATTTGAGTGGTCCATTGTTACACACATCTACAACAAAACACGCAACATTAGTTAAAACACACAATTTAAAACACACAAGATGGTTTCAACACACACAAGATTTCTTGAAAATCAGTCTGAATTCTTTACCATCTTCAATGATCACAATATTTGATTGCAACAGTTAAATGATCAAATCTGTGAACAAGAGCAATAGCTAGCTATTCTGCACATACAACATCTCAACCAAATTGAAAGCATAGATTTATAAAGATATTTTTATTGAGTTTTCATCAACTTAGAATATCACTGCAGAATCACTGCAAAATTGACTTACAGACAATATGAATAATGATAATGAAACATCACTGAGACTGAAGATTAAGGATTACTATCAAAAAAATATATATTAGAATTTAAGAATTATAAAGATCATATGTTGACTCTCTTTACACATCACATATCAACAACATGCAATCTCTAACAATTAAGACACGAACGTAGGGGTACATTTGAATTTTCCACTTTTCCAACTGTTTTTCGTATAATTTTAACCCTCCAACCCGTTCAATATCATCGCACGCCCTCTGCGATCTCTCTACGTGTGTGTACTGCACAGGTTGAGTGGTCATGGAGCCCTCAACGCCCTCCCGTCCGCCCAAGGACATCGACACGGCCTACACCAGGCCACTGGAGCCGGAGTCACCGGCCAATTTTGTCGCTGGAAAGGCTGGCAAGAGGCAGAGGAAGACTGTCACAATGCCTCCCCCAGTCCTCAAAGGAGCCAGCGACAGCATCCCCACGGCCACCTCTCGGCTGCAGAAGCAGTTTGAGGAGGCTCAGCAGCAACAGAACCTGCAGCAGAAGGCCCTCATCAGATTGGCGAAGACTCTGGACAGCTGGGTTGAGGAGGAGAAGCAGTCAGTCAGTCAGAACTTTGCCCGAATCTTCTGTGAGAGGTTTGTCAAGTATGTGACAGCAGATCTGAGTGCAGCATCAATTCTGAGAGGGGGTGCTGCCCCGGATACTCATCCGCAGCCAAATGCAGCAAAGACAGCTGCGAGGGAGCCGACTACCTGGGCGGGTGTTGCTCAGAGGGGGAAAAACTCTGCCCTCCCTGGGGTTGCCCCTGCCAAGACTGCGGCTTCCTCGGCAGGCAGGGCTAGTGGAGCTAGCCTGCAGCCCAAAAGCGCCAGTCAGCCAGGGGGCCCCACAGGGGGCACAAAACCGCAGGAGGACCCACGAGTCCTCGTCACCCTCCAGCCAGAGAAACGGGTCGCCCGGCTACAGCCATATGCTGTGCGGCAGGCAATCGCTGCAAACATTCAGGGGGTGGGGGATGTGGCCAATGTGCCGAAGGTGGAGCCCACCAGGACAGGTTGGGCGATCACACCAAGCGACAGAGGCATACGCGACGCTCTGACCACTGAGAAGGCAGTGGCTACTCTCTGTGAAGTCCTTGGCGCCACGGAGATCCGGCTACCAGAGCGGTGGTACAATTATGCTGTCCCAGGGGTCCCAGAGTCTGTCCAGGACTGGGAAGGGGCAAGAATCCCCACAGACAAGATGATTGAGGGAGAGGTTCTGGCTCAGGCAAAGGTAAAGCCAGTGAGCTGTCGACCCTCGCGTCATGGGGTGAACCCCAAGACAGGGAAGATTACATGGATTGTCTCCTTCCTTGCCCCGGTAAAGGGCTTCTCACTCTTCAATGCCAGTGAGAGGGCCAGGCTGATTGAGAAAAGGCCTTTGGCAGTGAGACATAACCCAGGATGCCAGGGGTTCTGCCACCCACCAAAGTGTGCGCGACTGGCAAGATGCTCCAACTGCAGTGAGCCCACAAGCCAGCATGAGGGGCCAACAGGCGCGGAGTGCAAGAGAGCGCCAAGATGTGCCAACTGCTGCCAACCCTACCCAGCTGGGCATCAGCACTGCCCTGCCGCACCCAGGCGTGTGAATGGCACCCTCAGGCGCCTAACTCAAAAAGAGCTAGCAGCTGTTCGCCGCCTTGGCGACAGGTGCCACAGGGATGCTCAGGAGCGGCAACCGCCGCCAGCACAGCCAGCACCAATGGTCGCGGTGGTGGTGCCTACACCAACCGCTCAGTCAACCCAGTCAACACAGCCCGCTGGGCTAGCACCCCGCAAGCGGGCGGCTACTCAGAGTTCCATCAGTGAGGAGGGTGCCCCCTGGCAGATGGCCCGCACCAGGCGACGCTCAGCTCACACAGCAGTGCGGCAGCACAGCCAAGCAGTTAAAGAACAGTCTGACTTCAGCATGCAGACGGCGGGTCTGGAGCCCTTCAACCTCATCCCGCAGGTGGACTTCGGCAGCAGCTCACCAAGTGACTCCTCATGCTAGAACACCAACACCAGCGACGCGGCTGGCGCCGCAGGAACAACCAGCAGGAAAATCGCCCCCTGCAGGTCTTCCGGGCAAATACAGCCAAGGCAGCCCTCTGTCACACAGCAGCTCTACAGCTTGCTTTCAAGCAGGGCTGTGAAGTGATCTGTATACAGGAGCCATACACACACCCTGGCATCAAGACTTCTAACCACCCAGCGTATGAGTGCTTTGCGCCTATAGACCGCTGGGATGACACTAACCCGGAGCAGTGAGAGGAGGAGAGGCCCCGGGTCATGACATATGTACGCAAGGGCTCAAAGACAAGGGCACAGCAACACCGGTCTGTGCAAAGCAGGGATCTGCTATGGGTCAGTGTAAATGGCTGCCACATTCTCAATGTGTACAGACAGCCTGAGACAGACGCAGTCATGGACTATCTGACCAATCTGAGCCCACCAGCCCGCTGTCTGATAGGTGGGGATATCAACGTACGGCATGATGCCTTTGAACCAGGGGCAGTGAATCTGCACCGGGGCGGGGAGCTTGTCCAATGGGCCAGTGAACATGGGATGGACTTTGTGGGAGAGATAGGGGTTCCGACTCATGCAGCAGGTCATGTGATTGATCTCACCTTCTCCAATGTGGCCTTTGCTTCCACTACAGTGCGTCAAGATCTACACTGCGGCTCAGATCACCAGTCTATGATCACTATGCTGCCAACAACACCTCAAACACAGCTGAGTGATGCTCGGATCAAGATCACAGACTCTCAGCTGGAGCCCTTTGCAGATCTTGTCAGAGGTCTCATGGTGGACATGCCTTGCCCAGAGGGGGTTGGAAATGTGGCACAGCTTGATGATCTGGCCCAGCACTTCACTCAGAGTCTTCTGGCTGCAGCTCAGGCAGTCAGTAAGCCAGCTCAACAAGGGCGGACCACAGCCCCCTGGTGGACAGCAGACTGCCGAAGAGCGCACCGAGAGCTCACCACTCACCAGACAGAGGCCGCGAAGCACCAGTTCAAGGATGCAGTGCGCAAGGCCAAGCGTGCATACTGGAGGCAGGTGATCAATGAGGCCAGAGATGGTAGAGACCTGTACCGGGTGGTGGCATGGCATAAGCTGGAACCCAACCTCAGAGCACCCCCTCTGGTGATTGGGGATCAGGTCATAGAAGAGACAGCCGCCAAAGCTGAGGCACTTCAACAAGCAATTCTGAAGCGATACAACTCAGCTGATGATCTGGAGTATGACCCACTGGATGATGAGCACTGGAGCGGCATGGGGAACCTGCCCTAGAACCCCCGGATTGAGATGGAGGAGATGGAGCGCAACACCATTGGGGTACAGAGCACCTCCCCAGGCACGGATGGAAATCACAGTGCGGATGCTCAAAGCATGCTGGCAGCATGTGTCCCTCTTTATACAGCAGCTATACAACTGCTGCCTCCGGCTCTGCCACTTCCCACGAGCCTGGAAACTGGCAGAGGTGGCAATGATACCCAAGGTGGGTAAGAGAGATAGAAGCTCAGTCCGCTCCTGGAGGCCCATTGCCCTGCTTTCAGTAATCTCCAAAGGGCTGGAACGCATCATTGCAAGGCGACTGGCGTACACGGCACTCATTCACGGCATAGTCAGCCCACAGCATGGGGGGGCGCTGCCCAGACGATCTGCAATGGACCTGGTAGCTGCTTTCACTCATGAGGTGGAGGCAGCCTTCGCACAAAACAAAGAAGTGTCCATGGTCACAATGGATGTGCAGGGTGCCTTTGATGCTGTGCTGCGCAGGCGGCTGCTTCAGCGGATGGCGCAGCAGGGGTGGCCACGCGAGCTGCTGCAGCTCATTGACAGTTTCCTCACTGAACGCAGAGCTCAGGTCCGGCTGGAGGGGACCACCACAGCAGCACATCAGATGCAATGTGGCACGCCACAGGGGTCTCCTTTGTCACCAATACTGTTCCTTCTGTACCTGGCAGAGCTGCTGTGGCAAAACTCGGAATTGCGCTTTGGCTATGCGGATGATCTGAACATCTGGCGGGCGACCCACTCACTTGACAACAATGCCACCCTTCTCAGACAGGATATACAGAGTATTCTGAGGTGGGGGGAGATAAACAAGGTGGCCTTCGCACCAGAGAAACTTGAGATGATCCATCTTACAAGAAAGCGACACAATGAGGCACCAGCAGTAGTTGTGTCTGAGGACCTCACTGTTCACCCTGTTACTGCCCCAGCTGGACAGGAGCCAGCACTCCGCTGGCTGGGTGTACACTTCGACAGAAGGCTCACCTGGAGACCACATGTCTCCACCCGGGCAAAGAAGGCAAGGGCTGTAGCCCAGCACATTCAGAGTCTGGGAAGACCAGAGACGGGCCCCCAGCAGATGCTCTGCGGAAGGCGGTCACCATCTGTGTGGTTCCCTCACTGCTCTATGGCACAGAGGCCTGGTACGGCGGCCGCACGCAGCCAGCAAGGCACACGGGCAGGAGTGGGGAGGTTAGCTCCCGCCTGGGATGGCATGTGGGGACAGTTGAGAAGGTGCTTACTATGGCAGCCAGAGGGGTCCTCCCAGTTTTCCGTACAACGCCCATCGCTACCCTATACCGGGATGCTGGGCTCCCATCAGCAATGGTAGCTCTGGAGGAGGCCAAAATTCGATTCGCGACAAGGCTTCAGGTGGTGGATGAGAAGCACCCACTGGCTTCACGGATAGCACCTCCAATGATCACACGAGGAAGAGGGGCTGGAACCCGGCAGCGCTCAAAGACCAAGATCCAGCGGTTGGGGGCGCTGCTACCTGCAGTCAATAGACCCACACTTGCCATCCCACACTACTCAGAGGGATGCGGGACAGACCCCACAGAGGGTGTAGACAAAAAGAGTGCTGCTCAGGCATTCAAGGAATGGTGGAGAAGTCAACCCTCAACAGATCTATATGTTTTCTCAGATGGATCAGAACGGAACCTTGACAACAGCAGGCAGGTGGGCTATGGCTTCATAGTCTATCAGGGAAATAAACAGCTGGCCAGCTTCTCAGCTGCGCTGAGCCCTATGTCACATGTCTTCGACGCTGAGGCAGTTGGTGCCTGCCGGGCATTAGAGTGCGCCGTGAAGCTCCTACCTTGTGTCACAGAGGACAGCAGCAACCCTCAGATCTGGCTCTGCCTCGACAACACCTCGGTCATCTGGGGCATACGGGGCAGTGCAGCAGCCTCCTCAAACTGGGCCTACAACCGCTGCCATGAGCTCCTCAGACAGCACAATGTCGGCCTGAAATGGGCTCCTGGGCATATGGGGATAGAGGGCAATGAGGAAGCAGACCGCTTGGCTAAGCGGGCAGCCTCATCCACTGCAGCCCCAGCCTATGGTCTCGAGGCCACACCCACAGTCAGTGGGGTCCGCACAGTGGCCAAGCAGCTCAGCCAAGAGGCAAGGCGAAAGTGGTGGAGTGGAGCCTGTGGCAAGCTCTCTGACTGGTACCGGGGCTGGAGTTTCAGCAGGCCGACTGTGGAATACCAGGTGAAGGCCCCTCCGGAGCTCACCATGCCACGGCATGCCCTTCACCGCTGGCTCGCACTCCGCTCCTCTCATGGGGACTTCTCCTGGTACCACAGGCGTTTCCAGCATGCAGATGCGAGGCTCACCTGTGTCTGTGGACACAACAAGAGCCCAGAACATTTGGTGCTCTGTCGACACTCACAGAGGCACTTTCTTCACTGGCCCAAGAGGCCAGCAGCACGGCCACACAACCGGGCGACGGCGTTTGCCTATCTAGGGTCTCTGACCCCTACAGACTTTGTAGAACTGCTGGACTGCACGCAGTTCTACACACGGTACTGCACAAGGTAACGCAGCCGGCTGGCTGCAAACCATCTGACAACCCCCGCAGCAGTTCCACGAGGCCGGCCTGCTGAGTACACCCACGGTAGCTAGTGCAACTGCCAGGGACATCACAGTCTATGCAGACAGTACAGATAGCACAACTAGGCTCATCTGTCTCAATTATCTGTGGTGTAATCAGTACGGTCTACGTGTCTGACTCAGCTGATATGGTTTTGACTGCCGGCATTGTATCTACGCGTACTCTGCTTTGTTTTCCTCTCGTCTGCCCTTGTCTCTATCGGCTCAAATGCTTCTTCTTCCTTCTTTTCTTTGCTCTCTCTGTCATTCTCTGCTCTTTTCCTGTCACAACCTTCTTCAGTGCTCTCTCCTTCATTATTTATCTTGTCTGTCTTTCTTCTGATATTAGAAGCACAGACAGCTTTCTGATCAACTGAGAGAGGTATCCCTCTCTGCTCACTATAAAGGCCTTCCAGGCACGGCAGCGGCGGTCTCCTCAGGGAACCACACTATAGCCCCACCATGAATGGCCATACGTTGGGCCAGAAGTGGATGCGCAGCTCAAAAAAATCCTTTTCAATGAGCTGAGTCTTCTCAAAAGTTGCCACCTGGATTCTGTATTCTCTCTCTCTGTGTGTACATAGAAATCTCTCCAGCGTAGCACGTCTCCATGCCCTTCAGGAGGCTTCTGAAACACGGGCGCTGCCCGTGTTTTCTCCGGGACGTTAAACCTATACATATATATATACATACAAGAAATTAGTGAATTTTTAATTGATGAATTTCAAAAAATGCTGCCTTTCAATGAAGTTTTGAATGAAAAATTTGTTATGTATCAAATTGTCATTGCAAGGTTTATACTTGATGTGCAGATCTATGAAGATGTAAATGAGATTCTAGAATTTTATATGAATTTTGATGATTTATTGTCACAATAAAATATGGTGTTTGATTATAACAGCATTTCAGAAAATGTGTTTTTATATTCTGTTATTACATCAACATCATCCTCACTGAGCAAAAATCTTGATGCATTACTTGAATTATTCAATAACACTGACAAAGATGAGAAAGTGAACAGTTTTGTTGAAATGTTAGAAAAAAATACAGCAGTATATTGTTGTTGTTGTATTCAACATTTAACAATGTTTCTTCATCATCACTGTGAATCTGCTGAGGGTCAACACAAGAAATGCAAGCACTGTTCAGTGATGAAACATGTTTATATTTCAGTAAATCATTGTTCTGTATTTGCAAAAGTATAGAATTAACCTGTATTAGATGCCAGTAAATATCATCAAATTGATTCAGATGGCTATTATCACAGCTAAGGATTTAATTGTCACTAATGCAGATGTTTTGAATGTTAATGTTTTACAAAGTGTTGTGACAGCTGCAGTTAAATTCTTTGCAGTGAAAATTTATGAGACTCAACAAAATGGTTTCTTTGAGACTCTGATTGAAACAGTAATTGATGAGATCTCAGTGACTACATCGCTGATCGCAGCTTTCAAATCATCATTGAAACATCATGTTTCATTAGTTGAGAAAATCCGGAGTAATAAGCAGATCTGCTTTGATGACAATTTCTTAAATGACACTGATCAACCTGAGGTGAATCTGGTTTTTAATTTCTGAGTGAAATAAATATATTTAGCAGTCATTGTCATCTTCTTCATTTTTATTTACTAATTGATTTCTGATAGATTTTATTAAACTGTTTCAAGTACTTCTAACTATTCATCAAATTTTCTCCAGATTCTTAAGAATTATCCACATCTGTGCAATTCTTCCATTTAACAAGATATTGTGTTTGATTATGATATTGATGTTTATTCAATATAACTTCAACTTTTCATTTTTTTTGTGCATTTATAATTATCAATTCTGTCTGTAGGATCTGTTTATTATACATGTGATATGATTTGAGAAAGGAAACATAGAACACAGAATAAATTTCTTTATATTATAATATAAACTTCAGTTTGTATATCTGCATACTGCATATATCAATTATTTGAAAGGGACTCAAAAATCAATGATCTAGTTAGAGTGAAGATTGCAAGGTGAATATATTTATTACACATAGCATTACTCAGTTCTCTATCTTAAAACTTTTTGATATATGATATTGCTCATAATATTTTTTCTCAGTTGTTTTGACAGCTTCTAGACATTTTCAGATTCTATTTTCTGCTTGCTTCATCTGTTTCACTTGTTCTATCACTGATTTTGATGTGCTCATGCTTGGGGGTTTCACGTCTATACAAAGTTAAGTTGGTCAGCCGATTATCGCTTCAAATGATGTCATTTTTATCAATGCATGAAAGGTGTTATTATATGCTTATTGTGTCAGAGAAATCCATTCTATTCAGTTATTCTGCTGATAGCTGCAATACATGTAAAGATAATATTTAATCACCTGATTTAATCATTCCGTTTGACCGTTGGTTTGCAGATGAAAGGCTGTTGATAATTTTCATCAGACATAGAGTAAGTAATATAATGTTGATCAGAACTTGCTGTTTATTAATGTATTTCAGTTGTTAATAATGTTCACAAATAGGTCAAAGTTCTTTACAAGAACTTTCATACAATAATGTCCGCGAGTTCCTCCACATCTAGCTTTGAAGATGTGGGTACAATTATGGCTCATTTAGTGAACAAATCAACAATTATGATAATAGCATTGTATGACTTCCCTTTTTATTATCTGATAGGTCTTCAATAAAGTTTATACTGATTGTATGCTATTTCTTATCTGGCACTGGATGTCGTTGTAGCAACTCATACAGCTTATGCTGTGGTATCTTAATATGTTAACAAATATCATAGATCCTCACATATTCTGCAATCTCATCACTCATATCATATCATGAATACTTGTGTTTGATCACTTCAATGGTTTTGTCACGTTCAAGATAGCCACTTTGATGCTACTGCGTCTCTAACCTAGGTGTGTCTGTAGAGTGGTATAAGGTAAAGTCGGGGCTTATATAGTGTTGCTGAGCTTGTTCACTAAGTCAGAAGGTAGTTTTTTTTTATAGGCAAGTTAAGATATAATGTCAAGAAGGATATCTAAAGAATGATTAGCAATAGCTACAGCGGCCGTTTTAAAGTAAACAGTATGAGTACCTAGTAGGGCTTACAGATAGAGGCGAAGACTTAAGGGTATGCGTCGTGAAGAAGTATACTTAAAGGTGAACTTATAGTCGCACCATGTAACTGAGTATAAGTAAAGGTAGTAGAAGAGTAAGTAAGATGAAATTGATCGTGATCAAGAAGATAAGCTCCTTGATCCTAAGGGTAATAAGTGTGTTTATATACATCTTGAGATACATGAGGATAGCTCGGATAGCTCTTGCCAAGATAGCTATCAGAGTGAGGATAGCTGTGATCACTCCGCTCACTCGAGTGATCCGAGTGATTTATCTCAGTTCCTCAGCCACTTCGCTTCGTAAAATTATAAGCTAACTCCTTTTGACTTCTGCCAAGTGCTGAGATCTTTTGGACCAATCATAATTTACATGGCTTAAACTAGTCTTAATTAGGAAGGAGGAAAATTTTCCTTCGCGAAGCGTCTGAGAAAGAACGGTCGCGCATTGTTAGTAACCCCGGGTCATTTTGAAGGGATGGCCAACTTTGCTCCATGCGCCAACTCCATCCTTATCAATTGACACAATTCGGCATAGTAAGGGAGATTTGTCTATCAAAAAGCTATAGAACACACTATTTTTTATTATGATAGGAGCCCTTTTGAGGTACGAACAACCGTGTCAAAAATGGTCACTTCGTGTTTTTTCACCAGAATGTATACTGATTTTTCAAAAATAATCTATAGATTCTCAACCACATATCCTATCAGCAAGATAAACATACTCGGATGCTCAGAATTAAGCCTAGAATGTCCGACTACCAACAAATAACATTCTCTTGATGATACTACCTCTCAGTCAGACCATCTGGTTTCTGTGGCACAAAGTAGGGTTATACCTTACACAGTGAACCCCTGCAAACCTCTGCGACCTCCCATAGGCTTCTATGAGCTCCTGATAATATCTTCCAATTATTGAGAATCTTGTGAGATGGTTCGTGGCAAATCAGACCCCACACCGGACCGTCGGAAACGGCGAAGTCGACATCAAATACGGCACAGAAGGGCTGCACTGGCAGAGCCACAAGACATTGAAACAACATTATCACCTAGCGCTCTAGATGCTATATTAGTGATGGATATCCAAAGTATGCCTGAATTAATTGGGAAATACTCACATCCAGACCATGTTAAGCAGCAGTATGGTGTGATTGAGGCATGTCTGAAGCGGCTGCTAAGAGATGGAAAGCCAGAAAGTACCCTCTGTCCTCATCCAGAACAGGTCCGTACTGTACGGCGATTAATATATGGATATGGTGACACTCTGTTTATTGCGCGGACTGGGTTTGGCAAAAGCCTTATTCTTCATTCCTATTCAATATTAACAGGAAGGATAACCATCCAACTTGTTCCATTGACTGGACTTGGTGAGCAGCAACAACGGGATATTGCTGAATTCCCAGGGGCACGGCCTTGTATGATCACTGCAGACTCCAAGAGAGCTGAACACTCATGGTTGCAGTCCATTCAACGGGGGTTATATACCCATGTTCTTCTCAGCCCAGAGCAGGCTCCTCTCCAAGGTCTTTAACGGAGCCTTGATGAAGCCTGACTTCC